GAGTAGATGACCAGTTTTTTGGCTGAAGACACCCCAATGGGTTGTGGACAGTCAATGAAAAGGCAAGAACTAATTCAAAATTAGGAAACAGAGATTTCAAAATCACTCAAATTAATAATGTGAGTAGTTCAACCTTCCCAGAACAAATCGGGAAGGGAGAAAAGGAGAAAGAAGAAAGTAATATGGAAAGAGATGGGGCTTATCATGGCATGCTGTTGCAGAACAGGATGCCTAACACAAGGGTTCCTCGCCCAGGACCTGAAGATCCCACTGGTCCACAGATAGAATTCAGGCGATCCTTGAACGGAGATGAGGGGGAAATGACATCGTTACGTTCATCAATCTCTTCCTGAAAATTATCATTTTCTGCAATTCTGAATGTAGACTACCCATTACAGTAGTATTAGCAGTTTTTGTAGCTTTGTAATCAGTACAATCACAGATATTTTCAATTACAGTTTTAGTTTATTTCTCAGAATGTCATTTATGCTTCTCACTATTTTGACACTACACTCATTTTCTGACACAGAAGCACATGCATCACTGTATCATAAATTTGTTTTTACTTAAATATTTGATAACTTTATTTTAATATAACTCATTTCCTTTGTAACCCTCCCTATTTTGTCAAAAGCGTTTCCAAACATTATACTTGGAAGAGGTCTACAGTTTTCACAATAGGGTCTATGAAACAAACAAAAAAAAAAATCTCTAAGTACCTCTGGATTAATATGGGACTTATTTTTCTTCTGTATGGTATAGGACAACACCCCATCTCCATGATCCACAGGTCTTTGGTAAAAGTCTGGCACATGCAACGAATTCATATCCCAGAAAGTTTAGGGGAGGATTGGAAGTAGAAATAAAAGAGAAGGGGCTGGGCACCATGCATCCACCCAGATGTCAGGGCAGAGTAACAAGAAGTACCACAAAGGACTGGACAGGCCAGAATTCCAAAGATAAGGAGTCCCTATCAGTGGTGATGGTGAGAAAGCCCCCCAAGTCACAGAAATTTCCCCAGGCCATGAGATGGGAGTTACAGCTGACTCCATGTTGTTCAAAGTGGCAAGATGGCCCCATCTGGTACCTGTGGCTTTAGTAATCATTGTAAAAAAAATATAAAACCACCAGAAACCAAATCACTGCCAAGAAATAATCAACCATTACTATGCTTATATAGTACTATATATATATATAGGTGATTGTATTGTATATGTGTGTGTGTGTGTATAATACAATGCAATGCAATATATATGGGAATACAGTCAAGTTTCAAAATTAGAATCATAATGAACACACACAAATCCCACTCTTTAAACTTTATTTCATATCCTCAAACATGCCTTTAGTGTTTATAAAGTATTCCATCATATGGAGGTGCTGTCATCAGTTCTTCTAATATTTGACATTTACATTTTGTTTAACTGTTCACTTACAAATAATACTATGCATGAAAATCTTTGCACATAATCTGTGTGTGTGTGGAACCCTGATTATTTCCTTAGGATAAATTCCAAGGTATAGAAAAACTAGGGCAAAGTCTATTAACTTTTTATCACTCATTAAATACATTGTCAAATCACTGTTTTATTAGACTTTTAATAGGCCTATCAGCAATGCGTAAGAGTCCATCTTGTGCCATATCCTTATCAGCCCTGGGTTTTACCCTATTTTTTTTCTTTTTATAATCTATATTTTTTTATTTTTAACTGTAACATATTTGTAGCAGTTTGTTTGCAAAGCTGTCTCCAACGGTTTGATGTATTTTCTTTTATTTCAGGGTGCATGTACTATATTAATATCAGAACTATACATCAATATTGCTTTTAAAGATTGTTGCAGAAATTCTCAAAGCACACCAGCAAATCTAATTCATTGAAATACAAAAACATAGTTATTTACATTCAGTACTAAAGAGATTATTTAATGCTAGGGAAAACATTACGAATATATGCAGCAGGTCAACTAAAATGCAATCATCTTGATAAATATGAGGAAGTAATTGGTAAATTTGATGCCCATTCTTTTAAAACAATTTATAGAACATAAGGAATAAGAAGATCTGAGCCTAAAACAGCACGATTTAAGTATGTATCTCAAAATGGTAGTCATTTCATACTTGGTGGCAATGTATAAATAACACTGCTATTAAAAAAAAGAACAAGACGAGAATGTCCCTTAAAACATTGGCACTAATAATTGCTCTAGAAATTCTAGTCAAAGCAATAAGGCAAGAAAAAATTGAAGTGAAACTATTATTAAAGAAAAAACAAAATTATGAATTTGTTCATGATATGAGTGTCTACCTCAAACCACAAGATAATTAACTAAAAATGCATTATATTAATTTACAGATGAATAAAGAGGCTTCATATGAAATAAACATACATTTTGCAGTGATGCAATAATAACAATTGGAAAATTGAATGAACATCTTTCAGTTTCACAACTGGAGACTCCAAGAGACTCCTGGGTTACGACTCACTGTGCTGTGAGCCTACGAGCAAAACGAGTCGTAGTAGGGAGCAAGGCTGCGAGGAGTCAGGGAGAACTGGGACTTCTGAAAACAGGCTGGAGTGCCCAGGGCCAATGGCTGTGCATGGCTGGGTCAGAAGAGTCAGGATCATGTTGATACCTTCCTCCAGGTGTATTCTGGAAGCATCTAAATACGAGCATAGAATCTGTAAGTGATTGACCATGTGCATCTATCTGCTCAGACACCCCCCCACAGTGGGCATTCCCCAGAGGCAAGAACTTGCCTAGTCCCACTTGCTGATGGCATGATTTGGGGGACCCACAGAGAGAAGCAGGTTCATCAGATCTCCCCTGCGGCCCATGTCTTTCTCCTCTCTACCGTCCTGGACTATTGATGGCTCCTTTAGGTAATGGACCTTCCAGAATACCAAATCAAAGCCATGATGTGCACTCTAACCCTCCATCTCTTCCACCTTAGCCAAGCTTTTAGCTTTAAAAGCCTCTGAGAAAAGGCCTTTCCTTTGTTGTACATTTTACCACTCTGCTCCTGACACAGTACCTAATGAGTATGACTTGATGGCACAAAATAGGGTAGCACTGAGTGAGAGACCCTCCCATCCCTGCCTTGATCCCTGAGCCCTGTTACTGCCTTCTCTCCACTCCATGAGATCTCATTCACCTTGGGACTCCTCACATACCCCCCACTGGCCCCTGGAAGCTTACCAACTGCCAAACCCCCTAATATCAAGTAAAGAGCAGTGTATGGGCAATATTGTGTAGCAGAGAATAAGCCCTACTAGAAGTCAGGAAGCTGGGTCTGTAACCCAGGCCCTGCCATGTTATTGGCAGTGAAACTTGACCTTGGCATTCTGCTTCCCAGTCTGTAAAATGGAGATAAGAATAGCCTGCTACAAGAGCTTTGTAAGGGGTTAAGATTGATCAGCTTGTAAGTAATGGAATTATTTTTTAAAGAGGGCAAGACAACAGTACATCAAAGTCATAGCGAAGCCAGCAGAGGCAACAGGTGCCCTGGCCGCGGGAGGCAGCGCGCAGCCCAGGACCTGCCAGCCTCTCGGAAGGGTCTGCCCCGAAGGTAGAGCTTTAAGTGCCACCAAGTCTCTGGGTAAAAACTGTTTGTCCTTGGAATTGTTCTTTACATCTTCAAAGTTATTATTTCCAAGGTGTTTTTCTTTTAAGAAAGGGGAGAATATAGTTAGTTTATACCCTGAGACCCAAGTCATAATCACAAAAGACCTTCATTCTCAAAATGTGATCAAAACCACCTCCTTCAGAGTGAGCTGGGGCATTGTTTCAATGCAGATTCCCAGGCCCTGGCCCTGAGCATCACTGAATTTCTCTGAACCTCAGCTTCCATGTCTGAAAAACAGGCTTAATAGTGCCCCTTACCTAAAACCTCAGTAAAAGAATTGAGATGGAACACATAAGCAAGTGAAAAGGGAAATGGCTTACAAGGAGAAGGCTGTAATTTGTAGCTGGACACGATGACCCTTAATGTCCCATCCAAATGAGGCCTCCATTCTCCCAGATCCCCAGTGATGTCTTAGGTCTCAAACAACTGACAGAGTGGTCTCAATTCCTGTCCATTCCTGTCTCCATCCTGGCCAAATGTACAGAAAGTGGCCCCCTTGGCCAGGCTCTCAGCCAAGGCTGGAGCTCTCAGAAAATAAGAATGTGTTATTTATGGAGGAAAATAAAAATGCGCATGCAACATTGCACAGGAGCGATTTATGAGGTTTTATGGAAGTGTCACCAAAGGCCTACTCAGTCACTGCCAATGTCAGGTCTGCAAACACCTGGGACTCAGGCACTAAAGCTCCCTAATGGAGTCAGTGGGTGAGACAAGCTTGCCGAGGGAAGTGTGAGCCCGGGGGTGCAGGTGCCTGCACATGGGTGTTTGAAAGTGTGTGGAGCAATGAAAGTCAATGAACACACACCGGCAGGGTGCAGGACAGCATGCGTCAGTGTGGGCCCCATAAGAGTGCACAGCAAGAGTCACACCAGGCAGTTACAGGGGCAGGAGGCTGAGCCACAATGCAGAAATGCACCAACTCACACTCTTTTCAAAGGACAGCAGCGTCCTGGGTGCTGCCAGGGAGGGGTTAGTCATCACCTTCAGCTGAAACTGAAGACCTTGGAGGATGTCAAGAAAAACAGAGTCTCAGGGGGAAAGTCCCTGAGCTGAGTATTCAAGAATGAGTACAGTCTGGCCAATGGGAGAAAGGGTGACTTACTCACCTCCTCTAGTGTCCTAACCCCCACTGATGGTATGTTCCAGGTCTCTGAAACTTCTGTGAGTTCTGTGACCCAGCCTCATGCCTTTTGCTCTGCCCCATGCACTCCATCAGCTGCCCAGCCCTCCCACCACATGCAGGGGAGCCTAGAGGGGTTCCCTGTTTTCTGAGGGTTACCTGCTGTGGGAGACAGTTCAAGGAAGGACATAGAAGGTATGTTATTAAAGAGGAAAGGAGAAGGAGGAGGAGAAGGAAAAGGAGAGAAAGACTTTCCAGGCAAGTCCTTGAACCACCAGGAATCCATCTCCCCAAGAAGGCCTTCAAACTCCAAAGCAAGCAGAGCCATGCAGAACATGCAACAAGGAGGAGCCCCCACTTCCTCTCTCCCTTTCATTCCTCTGTATGAGGGAATCATGAGTTTGCAAGATCCCTTTGGTTGCCTGGGGCATGCAATCATCACATGCATCCTCTCAGCACGTGAGGAAGGTCACTTCCCTGCAAGACAGGGAGGAGCTCAGGGCAAGTGTGGTTTGTGGAATGAAACCAGTCCCTTCCATTAATTACCCCTGGTGAGCCAGGAGGTTGGCCTGGCTTAGAGCCTGAGGGCAAGGAGTCTATCAATACCAGCCACATGCTACATCCTCAGCTGGGCGCTTCCACATGCCCTATCCTGTCTTCATCCAAACTCTGAAAGGGGAAGTTAGCATCACTCCAACATGCGCTAAGACTTGAAGGACCCAAGCGGCTGTGACACTTGCTCAAAGACATGGATGGAGAGTGGCAGAGCTTTCTTCCAGCTAGAACAGGAGACTCCTTCCTCCTTCCTCAGGGCCTTTAAAACATTGTCCCGGCCTCATCCATCCTTTTGCTGGTCTCTCCTCCTCCCTTTCCCTGGGTTGCCAGTTTCTGCAGGTCAGAGACCAGTTCTCCTTGCTCATCCCAGAGGCCAGCACAGGCTGGCAGGGCGGGGCGGTGCTCATGGAATGATCAAGGAGAGAAGGAAAGATGGGAATGTTCTTTCTAAGCAGCACCACCCTTTCTGACTTCAGGAGGTAGCTCAGGCTTGCTGAGCGCCAGGAGGAAAAGGTAAGGGCCAATGTCTCTGCATCCTGGAACTTTAAGATTTACATGTGCTCTCACACACACACATGCACACACATACACACATAGTGTCTGCCCCCACTTGCCACTGAGCGTCTCCTAGTGGGCAGGGAACATGACTACAAAGGGATTGAATTCAGGCCCTGGGCTCCCAACCCCACAGAACAAGCCCCTGCCCTGGGAAAGCATCCATGTCACATTCCCTTTCAGTCTTGGTCAGTCATTCTGTGAGCTGGACAGGGTAAGGATCGGTTCATCTCTGTACCTGCCCCAGGGACTAGCAGCCAGTCCATCACATGAAGGACCCTCAGAGTATGAGGGCTGTGACCCGTGGTGCCGACCAAGAGCCCACAGCCTTGTGCCACTGAGCTGACTTTGTCAGCATTTGGGGAGTGGGTGGGCGGGAACCAGTGCTGTGTCTGGGCCCATTGCAGAGGGTCCAGGCTGCATTCACTAGACCAATCCAGAGAAGAAAAGCTAATGGATGGATTGCAGTTATTGATACTACTGACCCCTTACGTGCCCCAAAATCTTTTGTATGCCATTGCTCAGGTTTTCCAAATGGAAAACTATCAGTGGAAGATCTTGATGGTGAGCAAACATGGAATGAAGTTATAAAATTTGTGAATGGTAGTTGTGCCAGATCAATGCTCCCAAACTTCCATGTGTACATGAACCACCTGGGATCTGTTAAAATGCAGCTCTGATTCAGTAGGTCTAAGGAGAGGCCTGAGATGCTCTGTTTCTAAGCAACCCCGGGGTGATGCTTCCGGATGTAGAACAGAAAGGGGCCTAAGTTCAAGATGGCTGGTGCTGACTATATCACATATCCCATGCTGTTCCTGGCTTCACCACTCAGAAGGAGCCTCAGTGCTGTGAGGGAAGACACAGGTCCCCACATTGCAAAACTGCTTCCCAGCCAGGGCCCCATTGCTCCAGGCACCGAACAGCCAATGGTGCCACAGGCTTCCCAACCCTATTCCACATACCTGTCTTTACACCTGCTGGGCCCCTGCCTAAAATGCCCTCTCTTTCCTTGAGGCTTTAGAAACTTCTACTCATCCTTCCTCCCTCTATCCCCAGCACCTTTTCCTCTTCTGCTACTAGCTACTTGTATACACTTAGGTAAGCTATTTCATGACTTTCAGCCTCAGTTTCCTCATCTGAAAAATGGGGGTGGTAGTAATTTCCATCTTCCAGGGATTTTCTAAATGTTAAATGAAATGATATACATAAAATACTTAACAAGGTGCCTGAGATACAATAAGTAATGAAAAAATAAATAAGTCACCAAACTTGAATGTTACCTCTTCTGTGGAATCTTCCTGGAATTTTCCATCTTCCTGTTTTCACTGTCTCCACAATACCTGGTTTCCACCTCTCTGATGGCCCTTATCACCCAGCATTGCAATGACCTGTTGACTGTGCTATCTTGCCTGGTAAGTTGTAAGTGCCTAGAGGTCGAGACCGTGCTCTTCCCATCACTGCTTTTCCAGAATCTAGTGCAGAGCTGAACCCAGAGAGGACACTCAGCAAGGGGTCCCAGGGCAGCCACAGCCTGGTGCTTCCAGGACAGCTCTGTGTCTGAGGGTGGCACATCTCACAGGAGCAGTACAGTTAATGGGAAGACTCTGGGAAGCTGAAATTCTATTTAAATAAGTTTTTCAGATAACTGAAGATTTCTCATCCAGGGAAAACATCTTTCTCTTTAATTTTAAACAATTTATCAAAAATTTCTTAAACAGAACACAATGGTGCTGATATAACCTTCCCAAGATGACTTATGGACATCAAGAAGGCATTAATCTTTGCCCTTGGGATAGGATGACTACATACCTGGTTTGTCTGGGACAGTTCTGTATTGCAGTCTTTGCCTGGTACTACTATTTATAACACCTTTTCATTCTCCTAGGGTCCCCTAGTTTGAACATGCAATTATCAGGGGTAGGATATGATGGATCAAAACGATGGTCCAAGGGAACACTGAGATGAATATGAATATTTGCTGTGGGATTTTAAAAATATGGCCCCCAAATTCTTGGACACTTCTCCCATTGAGAGGTGGATCTCTAGCTCCTTTGAATCTAGGCAGGTTTACGACACCTGGATCAATAACACATAGCAGAAGTGGACCATTGCCATTTCCGGGCCTTAAGAAATTGTCATATTCCATCTCCTGTCTCTTAGGATGCTCAGTCTTGGGATCCAGCCACCATGCTGTGAGGAAGCCCAAGACACACTGAGGAGAGACTCCTGCAGAGAGGAATCGGGAGCCAGAACCAACTCACCAGCCACGTGTGCGAGTCATCTCGGAAGTGGATCCTCAGCTGGTGTTGTGTGGAGGACAGCTGTTCCTTCCAAACCATGCTCAGATTGCACATTTGGGAGCAAAGTAGATGATTACTATTGTTTTCCATTACCCATTAGGGGTTACCTTTATGTAACAATAAATAATCAGAGCATTTTCCCAAAAACAAAATGCTACTGAAGTATTCTGTTTTGGGGGTTCTGGAATCTATGAGGAATCAGTCTCCTGCCTTCTCCCTCAAAGTTGGACTGGCACTGGCACTTCCAGGAGAGCATACAAAGAAACATCACAGGTTTGGAAGACGGAATCTCTGAGTTCCAGTCTCTCTGAAACTTCAAGCAAATTGCTTGAAGGTCCTCTCTGAACCTTAGTTTCTTTATCTGTAAAATGGAGATAGTAATAATATATCATGTCACAATAATGAACATAAAGTAGAGATTGGCAAACCTTATCTGCCAGGGGCCAGATAGTGAATATTTTGGGTTCTGAGGACTATACATTTTATTAGTCACATCTACTCAATTCTGCCATGGCAGCAAGAAAGCAGATACAGACATATGTAAACAAATTGGCATGGCTGTGTTCCAATAAAACCTTTTTTACAAAGCAGGATTGGCCTGTGGGCTATAGACTGCAGATCTCTGCTCTGAAGGATTGGAAAGTTAATGGCATAAATGCTAGCTACCATTAACATAAGTATTATTATTACAATATTAATACTATATTAATACAATTTTCTTTAATACAACTTTCTTTGGTCAGAAAAGTTTGGTGAGGATTTCACCAGGCCCGGAAAAACCTCAGGGTTCACCAAGCGTTCACCCTGAGATTTAGCAGAAAACCCAGTAACAAAATGTGTCACTCTAAGGGGGTGACATGGAGGAGTTTCACAAATTGCTCTGTCATCGTCTTCTGAGAAGTCTTCGCCAAGTCATCTTACCTTTTGAATCGAGGTCGTTCATCTGTGCAATGAATATACACATCACAACCCTTTCTGGGGAAATTACCATTTAAGATCCAGAGCTAAGAATTTAGTCATATGTCCATTACTTCCTTCAGATGCAAGCCCCTGGGCAAGGATTTTGAAGTTCAGCCTTAGGACAATAAAAGGAAGTAGATAAGGGAGGGGAGGAGGGAGAGACAGGGAGAAGCAATCATGGAGAAGAGGCTGAAGGAGACGTGCCCCTTATAAACTCCATCCCCCCCAGTATCCCATTCACTCATTTGTTCTGTGTATTGCCTGCCAGTTGGTCCCGAGTTGGGACTGGGTAACCAGAAGCGACTAAGACACTCCCTACCCCTGCATGGACGGAGCCTGCATGGAGCGAGCGGAAGAGGCCATTAAGTAAGACGTGGCAGTAACAGTGTTGTGTGTTGTGAAAGGGGAAGTGAAGGGTGGGGACCACCACTTGGGGGTGGAGGATCTGGCCCAACGGTGGGTCAGGAGAGGTCTCCCCAAGGAAATGACATCGAAGCCAAGACCGAAGGGCTGAGTGGGAATGAGTCATTATCCTCTGCCTTCCTCCTCTTCGTGAACTTACCCCCATGCTTAAACACATCTCCTGACACCCATCCAGCACGAGATCACTGCTCCTCTCTGCTCCTGGGCTGAGTCTTCCCTTGCCTACATGGGCCAAAACCTCCTTTTGCTCACTTAAACCTTTGCCTGAATCATCAATGCTGTTAAGATAGAAATCAAAAGCCCTAACATGACCCACCAGGGTTGTTATGTGGTTCCTGAGACCCCCTCCATCTCATATCACAGTCACCCATTGGTAACTCTGCTCTGGCCTCCCTGGGTTATTTTCCAGGCCTTCCTACCACATGCCCTTGGCATATGCTCTTCCCTCTACCTAGAATACTTCCTCCTCCTCTTTTTGCCTAGTTAATTCCTACTTATCCTCCTGATCTCAGATGACTTATTTCCATAGTAAAGCCTTCTCTGACCTCTCCAACTCATTAAAAGGCCCTGGTTTTAAGTTTGCAAAGCCCCTCTCCTTGGCACCTACCACAGGTGCAATTTCCATGACCGACATGAAGATTTGACCACAAGCCTCAGAAACTTGTCAATGCTGTTTCTTGTGTTTCTTGCTTCCCTCCAGCACCAGGGCCTGGTGCATAGTGGGAGCCTAACTAAGCTATTCATTTCAATGACTAAAATGTTGGATGCAAAGCTGTAGTGCCATAGAATTTCTACTTGCAAATTCTTGAAAATATAAGAGCCCCAACACATTAAGCATATGGGTTCATAAAAGCAGGTGTGGTGTGGTGAGGAAAAATGTCTGCCAGGAAGTCGGAAGAGCTAAGTCAGAATCCCATCTCTAATTGCCCTTTACTTCTAAGTTTCCTGTCTGTGCAGTGGTGACATAATTGCATCCTCCCGAGCCACCTCTTGGACTTGCTGGGCATAACAAGACCACTTCAAGGATGTATACATACGAGTTTCCTTTGGCCCAGCCTCCGCCAAAGAATCAAGAAGGATGCATCAGTCCCCTGGGGCCCCTACTCTGTGCTGACTCTGGGGCGGGAAGCACAAGCTTTCTGGGACGCCACAAAGAGGCGGGCATCAGAGGGGCCTGCGCTGTCGTGAGCCCTGCAGTATTGATCACCAGCCTTGCAGAGGGAACATTTGCCTTTCTTCCCCTTCCAAATAATTAAAGTATAATATTTTATGGCCTGATAAAATTTACTGGGACCCTTGGCACGTAATTATAGTGCTTCTTTAAAGGAGACCCCATAAAAGATGCATGATTAGAAAGTTAAGGATCTGGATAGAATTACAACGATGTGACAAATAATTTACAAGTGATAAACTGTCCAAGGGGGAAAAAATTCCAATAAGCTCTGATGAAGGCTAACAATTAAAATAATAAATTCCCCAAGAGCAAGGGTAAACTTTTTTTCTTGGTCACAGGCTTACACTTCAGGAGCCACAAAAAAGAACAAGCCTTCTGGTCAAAGTCAAGTCCTGGTTCCCGAGGTGTCTATTCTTTCTATAGCTATGTATTTATTTTTGAACTTACATGCTTACTTATTTAATCTTTTTAGTAATTTATTCATCCACCAATTTATCCTTTCTTATCTCTAACCTTTCTTTCCATCCACCATCAATTCCATTCCTTCTTCCTTTCACCCACCCCATCTACCCATCCTTCTGTTCATTCATCTATCTATTCATCTGTGTCCATCTGTTCATGTATCCATGTATTAATTTATGGATCTACCCATTCATTTAGTTTCATTTTTCCTTCATCTGTCCATCTGTGCTAAGAAGGTTCTTCGCTATTTCTAAAACAGCACTGTCCAAAAGAACTATAATGTGAGCCCCTAACTAATTTTACATTTTTGAATAGCCCCATTAAAAAAATCAAAAATAAACACATGAAACCAATTTAAATTATAAACACACTAGTTAACAACTGTTTTTTATGAGACAGTATGAGTGTTTTACTATATTTCATATACTTTTAATATAAAATATTAATACCATGTAGCAATTTTTCAGTGACTGTATTTAACTCATTATATTCAAAATATTCTCATTTGAATGTGTAATCAATATGAAAGTACTAACCAGTTATTTTCTATTCTTCTTTTCATCTTAAGTCTTCAAAACCCAGTGTGTATTTTACCCTTGCACCTCAGCCCAGTCAAACTGGCCGCATTTCAAGTGCTCAACAGCCTCTTGTGTTTCTTGGCTACCATACTGGACAGCCTGGTTCTAGGTCTTCAAAGATGGATCAGAGGGAGCTTCGCCCCTGAAGAGTTCATGCTCAGGTGAGGACAGAGAACTAAGTTGTTGACCAAGAGACTCAGTGCACGTCTCATGGGCTATCTCACTTACTCTTCACATCTAAGCTAAACCATTCTCCCATCTTATACTCAGGGAAGCTTAGACTCAGCGAGAAGGGATTGAAAAGTCCTAGAATCAAATCGAGCATTTGAGACCACTGTGTCAAATGGTCAGGGCAGGCAAGGATGAGCAACTCTGGCAAGTTAAAAGGGGGCTGTCCAGCCCCACCTGTTCCTGGCGAGGCCAGGAATCAGGTGCTGGGCCCGCCAGGAGGTAAGGAAGGAGCCACACAGCAGAAGGGTCTTCCCAGACAAAGCAGACAAACAGAAAGAAAGGGAAGAACTAGCACTCTGTTCTGCCAAGGCATGCCCCTGAGTGCTTCAAATATCTCAGGACAGAGACCCAAGGAGTATACATTCAGGAGAATAAAAAAGTTTACAGACATCATAACCTTGCACCAAACATCATCCTATCCTCTCACGCACAGCAAAGAGGATCCTACGACCAGTTCACTGTGTGGTGCCCGAGTCTGAGCAGTGAATGATATTGCTGATGGTGACGGACGCTGGTAGCAAGCTTAACAGTATCTCTGATCTGCTCTAGTGGGCCAGCGCGTCACCTGCCTGGTTTACTGATGCCCTTGTTTTAGAGAAGAGGAAACTGAGGCACTTTTCCAAAGCATATCAGGGGTCCTCCACCCTGTGTCACTTGCATAGACCCGCTAGGAGCATTTCATAGGAAACGGGCTTGGCCAGACAGGATACCAGCTGGCCACGGTGGGTGTGAAAGTGAGGACCCTATGATCATTGTTTCCACCGAGGTCATGTCCAGTGGGAAGAGGAATCTTTAGGCCGGTAAAGTCCCTCAGAGTTCCCAGTGCTGTTCTAGATATCCTGAACAGGGTAAAGCGCAGGCAGAGAGGGTGAACTGCCACTGCTAGACTGGTACGGGAGGTGGCCAGGAAGGCTTCACAGAAGAGGTGACACACTTGGCAGCATGAAGTGTGTCTCTGACTCCCCAAGAAAAAATAATCTCTTTCCTTTCCACAAATTAGCCCCTTTGTCAGGCCCGTGGAGCCCAGGCTCGGGCGGCACCCCCACCGGGACCATTTCTGCCCCCTCCTCCTCGTCCCCCTCCACAGCCACTCACTCTGATTCCCCCGCAGGCACCGGGGAAGCCTGACACTACTCAACGCCATAACGGTTCAATGGAGAAATACAATCACTTGGATTTCTGAGAATGTATGTATTTGTTTAAGAACCCCTGTCTCTCTGAGGTACAGACAAAACCCTGCCGGTTAACACCTCCCAGCAAGGCACCGTGGGAATGACGTGGAGACTTGGGCTGTCAGTAGCGATATCGATCAGACAGGCTTCCCAGCAGGAACAGGAGAGACAAGGGGCAGGGGCGCGGAAAGGGGAGAGCATGGAGCCACAGCCAGGCAGAGACCGAGGGGGAGAGGGAGAGACCAAGGCTCTAGGGACACAGGAGGGAGACAGGAAAACGGCCAAGGCTGAGGGAAGGTGGCGCAGAGTTGGCGGGGGCGGGAAGCCGACAGAGCCAGCAGCAGGAGAGAGCGGGGACAGAGACGGGCCAGGCTCAAGACTAAGTAAATCAAGAACCAGAACGGGATAGAGACCAGATGACCAATGAGATTGGGGGAGAGAGAGAGAGAGAGACAGGATAAAGGACAGGGAGAAGGGCAGGCTGGGATGTCCAGCGTGCCCCCAGCACCCCGTGCCTGCTGCCCCCGGCCTTTGCTCTGCTCTTCCTTATGCCTAGAGGACTCTTGGCCCAGCTTTCCACCCTTGGCTGAAGCAATACCTCCTCAGCAGAGTCTCCAGTGGTCACCCCATGCAATGTAGGTCTGTCTTGCACCAGCCCATTGTTCTCCATCAGAAAAAGACACCTAGCTGATTTCTTTTACAGAATTTCTTAGCTTTTTATTATTCATTTGTCTATTATCCCTTCCCAGAGCCACCATTGTCTTACCGTATCCTCAGGGCCTAGAATAGTGTCTGGCTTAGAGTACGTGGGACTTAACAACTAAGGAACAGATGAATGAATGAATGAATGAATGAGTGAGTGAGTGAGTGAGTGAATGGCAAGAAGAGCAAATCATTCCCAAGAACTCCTCTCTGGCTATTCAGGTTACCCAGGTGGAAAGATCATGACTTTGTTGCAGGGTTGGGTGTCAGTTGGCAATGCAAGCCTGTTCTCAGGACCTGTGGTGGAGACCAGGGTGGCATCAATGGGCAGGCATCTGTATCCAAGGCCTACGGGCATCAGCCAGACCAAACAGGACCCTGGGAAGAGTGTGGCTGGGGAGCTGAGCATTTTCCACCCTGCTCTAAGCATCCCCCACCCACCCCAGTCTTCCTTGCAGACAGAAACGGTTCCATCCATGATTTTGCTTTGTCTTAAGTTGGGAATGGTCCTGTGAGCCAAAGTGCATGATACCCATGTGTGCTCCTCAGGCAACAAGAGTCCCTAACTCAGTGGGGCTCCCATCACCCCATTAGGACGAACATAGCCTCCCTTCTGCGCAAGTCTCCTTGTCTCTATGGAAAGTGCTCTCAAGAGCCATTTTGCAATACTAGCCATTGGAAGGCACTCTGGGGGAACCTTCCAGACCAGAGCAGAGTGCTTGGGCCTCCCAGAGTGCTGGTGAAGGTCAGTCAGTTTTCTGGAGCCAGAACAGAGGCCATTACATGTACGTGTTCCTTGAGGCTGGCATGGAGGCTGTAATGGAGATCTCTGGGGTGGCCTGGCTGCAGGAGATGCAGAGAAATTCTGGACAGCTGGGTGGGAAGGACACTGGGTTTGAAATCCCAAAGTCAGGGGACTTTCCCAGTCACTTATAGGGTGACCCAGGAATATGACTCAATCGGACAATAGCATCGGAGGCAATACGGCAATACACAGCGCCCCCCACCACAACTCTCTCTTTTTTTTCCTTTGACGTTCCTGCCCTCTCCCACATTTATGCATAGTAGCATTTATAGAGTAAATTTACATTTATGCATAGTTGCATTTATAGAGTAAATTTACAGTTCCAAATTTAATGTAATTGCACTCATAGAATAAATGCCCAGTCACATTCTGCTTTCCAGGTAATTGTGTAATACACATCTTGTGTTTCTTTGAGAACTTTGTCATTGACATTGTTAACAATTACATTGATGACCAGGATTTGACTTACCAGTCTCCTACTAATGTTCTTTCAAGGGTTAACCAGATTTTTGTAGTGAGAGATACTGATACCATAAACATCTCTGCTTATACCTAGTCCTTTCTTGAAGGTTATTTTCTCAGGATAAGTAACAGGGTGTGACAATAGATTAGCATATTATCCCCAAAGTTTGTAAGAATTTGGATGGTCACAAGGAACGTTTGTGTGTATGATTTTTCAACCCAACCCCACCAGCATTAGACATTAAATATGATTTTTTTTTCCTTAGTTGGTTGATAGAATTCATTTTAATTCCTTTTGGATGGAATTAAGAACAACCATTTTTTTTTAAATGCATGTGTACTCCTCCCATTACTTTATATGTGAGTTTTGGTTTAGGAATTTGCTCAGCTCATCTCCTAATCCCTCCTCTGCACCTGTAGACCTGGGTGCAAGTCAGCACCCTCTCTAGAAGGTAGAATGATATATTCAGGGAACTGAGTTACAAATCATGGGCAGAAACAGGCACGTGAAAAGATGCTAATCATCAGAGAAATGCAAATTAAAATCACAATGAGCTATCACCTCACACCAGTTAGGATGGCCACCATCCAAAAGACAAACAACAGCAAATGCTGGTGAGGCTGAGGAGAAAGGGGAATCCTCCTAAACTGCTGGTGGGAATGTAAGCTAGTTCAACTATTGTGGAAAACAACATGGAGGCTCCTCAAAAAGCTCAAAATAGAAGTACCATTCAGCAGAGGAATTCCACTCCTAGGAATTTACCCTAAGAATACAGGATCCCAGATTCAAAAAGACATATGCAATAGCCAAGAAATGGAAGCAACCTAAGTGTCCATCAGTAGATGAATGGATAAAGAAGATGTGGTACATATACAGAATAGAATATTATTCATCCATAAGAAGAAAACAAATCCTACCATTTGCAACAACATGGATGGAGCTGGAGAGTATTATGCTCGGTGAAATAAGCCAGGTGGAGAAAGACTAGTACCTAATGATTTCACTCATCTGTGGAGTATAACAATAAAGAAAAAACTGAAGGAACAAAACAGCAGCAGACTCACAGAACCCAAGAATGGACTAACAGTTACCAAAGGGAAAGGGACTTGGGAGGGTGGGTGGGAAGGGAGGGATAAGAGGATTAAGGGGCATTATGATTAGCACACATAGTATAGGGGGGGCACAGGGAAGGCAGTACAACACACAGAAGACAAGGAGTAACTCTATAGCATCTTACTATGCTGATGGACAGTGACCGTAATGGGGTATATGGTGGGAACTTGATAATAGGGGCTATCTAGTAACCACAATGTTGCTCATGTGAAGTCTGAGCATAAAATTGTATATCAATGATACCTTAATAAATAAATAATAATAATAATAGTAATAAATAAAAAATAAATAAAATAGAAAATAAATCATGGGCAGACTTAGAGCTTCAAATCAGACCCTCACAATGGGATTAGGGCAGCCACAAGGCCCTGTGGTATAGATGGGGACACTGAGCCTCAATAGAGGTAAGTGACTTGTCCAAGGTCTAAGGTCCCAGTTGGTACCTTTTTGCCCACTTTCCCCAGCCAGTCATCTGCTGAGCCTGGCTGGGCTAGACTAGGTGGGTAATGATATTAACATGCTCTTGTGCCTCAATCCCTGTGCTCAGCACTAAACACAAGTATTTCTCTTAATCCCTACAACAACACAGAGAAACAGACATTAGAGTCACCATTTTACAGGTGGAACTAAGAGAAAGCAACATTACCCAGACCATTCAGGATTCAAACCCAAAACTATGGGTCGATAAAGCTCATGGTGTAACCACTACACTAATCTCTGGATGTGAAAACATGATTGAAGGGTCAGGTAGTCAGGGAGCTGTGGGGACACAGTGAGAACCCCTTGCTGTGGAGCTGAGGAAGGCTTCCTGGAGGAGGTGATGTACCATGGAGCATTGAAACATGAAGGGGGACTTGTCTGGTGGACAAGAGTCAGACTGCAGATTCAAGAGCTGAGAGCTGGGTCCCACAGAGAGCATGTGCCTGCAGGAAGAGGGGCTTGTGGGTAACTGCAGAGGCTCGGTTTTGGAACCAGATAGACCTGGTTTTGATCCTTACCTCCTCTTGCTAGCTGTGTGGTTAGATAGTCATTTCACTCTATGCGCTTCACTGTGCCCACCTGCAAAACAAAGATAATTGCTTCACCAGTTATTGAAGGGAGTAAGGAGCACAAAACTATGAAGTGCTTAATCTAGCACCTGGCAGAGAAGTGCTCAGAAATAGTACATATTATCCTTGCTGCCAACTCAGAACACAACCCACTTTTCCTCCCTGTCCTTCCCCTTCCACCAGCAAACCTGAGAGTGTGACCAACCAGAAGTGCTCACATACCTGTAAGCACACACCTTTCTGACCAAAGGAACCAGCTAGAGTGCGATGGAAGCCATCGGGGCTTTGGATTTAGCCACACCTAGTTTCAAACCCCATTTCAGCCACTTATCAGCTGGGACCTTAGACATTGGACAAGTCACTTACCTCTATTGAGGCCCAGTGTCCCCATCTATACCACAGGGCCAGCAATCCCTGCCTTGTAAGTTATCCTGATGCCTGAGCACATGCTGTGGACAGAATATGCATTACTCAGGGTTCATTGGAAGCCCCTGAAAGTTCCCGCTCCTCACCATCAGCACACAGGCACTAGCTGTGGTGGTCTAAGCAGATGTCCGTGGTTGTGTTAATCTACATCTGAGAGCGGCAGCCACATCAGGGACTTCCCTGCGGGTCCCTGGGGCCCATCACCCTTCAGGGCACCCAGCCTGGCAGGGCCTATGGGCAGTAGCCTCTACCCCAGAGCCCAGCTCCTCCACATCCTCCCCCAGCTATTGCGGGAAGAAGCATGACTCATCGAGGGAAGAGGGTTGGCATCATCCCCCCCCCACATGGGCCCAGCCAGCAGGCTTGTGGTTAAAGGGCCTGCCTGGGTTGCAAAACAAGCCAGTTTGCTATGCTCTGGGATCACGTGATGACACAGGAGCTGGGGATGGCCTTTTCTCCCCTCACCCACTGACTCAGGGCAGCTCACTTGCAGTCACATGTACTGCCTGGGCCTCAGTTCCCCCTGAGTGTTCCTAGCTGCTGAACTAGCTTAGAGACCGAAATTGGAAGAACTACTTCCTTTTTCCTTTTTTTTTTTTTATTGCACCATGCATGTGTAAATATATTCTCATTACAAAAAAATGTAAAGACTATGAAATATAGAAAACTAGAAATCGGAAACCACTCTACAGCCCTCACCGCACACCCTCTGTGGCAGTAAATGTGGCCAGTGTTTTCCTGAGTACCTTCCAGGACCCTGTCTTGTTTTTGTATTAATTTTAAGTCACATAAGAAGTGTGCTAATGCTTTCTTCTTTTAAAAAATATTAGAATAGTACAGAGAAGGTAAGGGTCCCCACTGACAGCTATCACCTAACAATCCTGGTCCCCTTCCGGAGACAACCACGCTAACCAGTTAAGGATTTCTCTGGCAAACCTCTGTTCTTTGTATGGTATGTATATATATTACACCCAAGTTCATAGCAAAGCCTGGGTGTGGGGAGGGGAGACATTTCCATACTTACTTTCAGACTGTATGTATCTTTTAAGTCGGCCCCAGGTTGTTCAGTTTATAAACAATATTAAAATGATTATCTGCCTACACTCCTCCTTTGCCCACATGCAGGTAGTTCCTGAAGGTTGATGCCAAGTGATAGAATCTCTGCACACAGGCACCTGTGTTTGGCTTTAATGGTTATCACTGCGTGGCCCTCCTGAGATTGCCTTTCTTATCTCTTTTCCAAGTATTTACAGATATGTGCCCACATGCACGTACTCATTTTCCAAGGGTTGGTGTGAAATGATACAAGAGAAAGACAAAAACTTCCTTTGCCACAATACTGAGTGTCCTGTTGAGAGGCAGCATAGAGGGTGAGGAAGGGTGACAGAGTATATGCACTAGATGGAAATGACCGACCACTGAGTCCAAACTCACCGTAGAGAGGGGGAAACTGAAGCCTGGCAAGCAGAACTGGCTTGCCTATGAGTCCCCAGGCCTCTCTTGCCAAGCTTATTCTCAGCAGCTGGGAGGAAACACATCCTCCTACACAGGAATTAGGGGACTTTCTTCCAGATGCAAATACAGTCATGTCCCCTCCTTTGACTAAGATATTTCATTGACTTCCTATGCTTCATCTTCAAGACACCACCCAGCCTTTTGCTCTCCACTCTTCAGAGAACACCAGGACCTCTTCTGCCCCAGGGCCTTTGCATATGCGTTTGATGCTCTCTGGAATATTTCATGCCCCTCCCCTTCCACACTCACACTACTTTGCTAATTCCCACTCTTGTCTGAGATCTCAGCTGAAGCATTCCTTTCTCAAGGGAAGCTACCTTGGTCTCCTTGACCATGCTAGAGCCCTCTTAGAATACCTTTTAGTGCCTCTATTTCTCCTTGAGAGCACTGTTCACACATGCAATTACATTTATTTGTGTAATACTTGAAAAATATCTGACTCACCTTCTGGAGTCTCTGAAGTCAAGGGCTGGGTTTCTTTCTGCTGGATCCCCAGCATTTAGACCAGAGTAGATGTTAAGTATTATCTGAACAAAGAAATTACTTTACTCTTCCCTGTTGCCCCATAGCTTTTTGGTCACATACCCTCCACATCTCTCCCTGGGTCTTCCCCTTCCAATACCAATGGGAGGCCATCCTGGAGAACACACACCTTTCTGATCCCAGGAGGCAGAGGGCTGTCTGAAAATCACCTGCACTTCAGATTGACCACACCTCATTTCAAACCCTATTTCAGCAACTTGGACTTGGACACGTCACTGCTGTTGATGGAGACTCAGTTTCCTCACCTGTAATATAGGGCAGCAACCTCTGCCTTGCAGGAATGCACGGGACTTGAACACAGGGCCTAGCCCAGCGCCCTGCACACTGTGGAGGCTCAGTGTTGGGGGGAAGCCCTTGAACCCCCCTTTCTCATAGATACCACATTCTCCATGGTCTGAAGCAGGTTTCCACACTTCTGTCGCCACACAGTGTTGACCGTCTGCACACTTTCATATCCTAGCCCTGAATCCAGCAAGGGGCGTTCAGCTCCACCATCAGTAAAACCAACCCCTGACACCACCAGATGCGGGCATTTAAGGCCCCTGTGGGGTTAGGAAGGCCCCAGAGTTCCCGGCAAGTCTCTCAAACCTGCAGCGCTCAGGTAATGGAGAGCAAGTTGGTTACTCTAAACCCCACAGCTTTCTCCCTTCAGAGAGAACAACCCTGTTTTCCTTGGGTGCTCCTGCAAGGCTCCCTATGCGGCCAAGAGATTTTTCCAGATCCCTGGAAGAAGAGTTGGTTCTTAAAGGAGGAGGAGAGCATTGGCTGAGCGGCAACCTCAGCGTTAGCCTTAGGGAGGCTAGAAGTGACGTTCTGCAGCCCCTGTAGGGGCAGGCATCTGCAGCCTCAGAGCCGGGACCGGGACCAAGACTCTGGAACATCCCAGAACTCTGGCCACCACCCCTTTCTCGCCTCTGGATGCGCACCTGTGCCCTAAATCAGCATTGTCCCCGGGATTCATCACTCAACCAATATTCATTAGCCAATATTCATTAGGTCAACACTGTGTGGCAACAGAAGTTCAAGGGCTTCCCCCCAACACTGAGCCTCCACAGTGTGCAGGGCGCTGGGCTAGGCCCTGTGTTCAAGTCCTGTGCATTTCTGCAAGGCAGAGGTTGCTGCCCTATATTACAGGTGAGGAAACTGAGTCTCCATCAACAGCAGTGACGTATCCAAGTCCAAGTCATCATCACCCTGCCAGAAACTGGAGGTGCCTGGCTGAGCAAGGTGACTGTAGCCTGCTCCCCCAGAGCCCACAGGCCGGTCCCGGGGCTTCCGCAGCCACACGCAAGGCCAGCTGGGGGCCTCCTTTGCCAGGTCTGGGCTTCTTGGGTCTTTGGAACAACAGGACGTGAAGGGTAATAAAGGGAGAAAGGAGGTTCTGACCATGCCTGACCCACAGCCAGCCTGCTATGGGGGCTTCTCTCGGGTCCTCTGGGGGCCTGGTAGCTCTCGGCAGCTCCCCTTCTCCTGTTACTGGGTACAAGCACCCAGCCACCTGCAGTCAAAAGTTGTAATTAAGTAATTAACAGCAGACCTGTTTTGTTCTTCTTATATGCCCTAAGATTTAGCACAGAGCTTGTCCTGGTAAATACTTGGAAGGAAGACAGAAGTAAGGGAGGGAGAGAAGAAGGGAGCAAGGAAATGCGGTGGAAGAAGGGAAAGGAAGCAGTGCGTGTCCTGCATTCTTATTTATCTACTATTTACTGGCCACTTAGAGCCAGATGCTGTACTAGACTCCAGAGATAGGAATAAAACAGGTGAGATGCTTGCAGTCACGGAGCATCACCCTTAGTATCCTTGCAGTGCATTCTGTAGAACAACAGTCCCACAAAACACCCAGCATACTGCTCCTCTGTCAGAGAAGCCTGAATCTGCTACGGTCCTGCCACCCAGTCTCGGACTGTCAGATGAAAGCTTCTGAGAAGGTCTGCAACTACAAAAAATCCCGATTAACCAGGTCTGTCCCAAACTCTTTCAGCCTGAAAGCTGTTTTTTCTCAGAATTACAGCCCACGATCCTAAAGGAAGCAGGCAAGGTTGCCTTCCTCCTGCTGGGCCACGCTCCTCCTCACTCCGAGCTTATTCCCGACAGCATGCCCCGCAGGCGGGTCCTGCCGCCACCACCACTTCCGATGCTTGGGCTTCCTGGCACCTCTGACAGCACTCCAGGAAACCGTGCTCCTTCTCCCACATGGGACAAGGCTGCGGAGACCCCTCCTGCTGTTCTGTCCTTGGGGCTCAAGGGTAAGGAGCAGCAGCAAGAGAAGCCACAAGAGTCAGGGACTCTGAGTTGAGCGTCAGGAAGGCTGGAGGCCTGGCCTGACCCGAAGGTCCACGCTGTTATGCTAGACCTCCAGGTTTTGGCAGAGCCCGAATCCTGCTTGCCAAGGGAACTTGGGGACTGCCAAACCCCTGTGCAGATGAAGACAAACATCAACCTCGTGTTTCTGATTCACTGACGTTCAGCCCATGAAGTTGCTGTTTAGTGAAAGTTGCTTACCTTTCAACAAAGGGGAGCACTTCCTTTGGAAATGTGGTTTAGCTTTGTCCAAAGATCTCTTCACCAGGGTGGGAGGAGGCAGGGCCTGCTTCTTGTGCTGCTTGCTTCTGCCACTTCAGAAGGAATTACAGCCACTAGGTACACCTAGAGAAACGGACTTCACCTTTCTGAGCCTCAGTTTCCTCACCCACAAAATGGGAGTGGTACTGACTCCACAGAATTGTTGAGCAATTAAATTCCTGAATGCACTGTTTAAGCCCCTGGACTGAGTAACATATAAAATGGTATACATTATTAATAAGAGTATTAGGATTATTTCAGCATCTTCTTCATCCATATTCAAAGTTACAGGGAACCCACAGTTATAAATCTTTGAAATGCTGCATAGCTGTGGAGGTATATCCTCACAGCAGTGACCCCCAACGAGTCCCCCTTCTCAGAATCCACACTGTGTCATCTGTGCACCCACACTGACTCAGAGACTGGACATGTGATTTGTTTTGGTCAATGAGACTTGACAGAATCTGGACAGAAGAACTGCCTTTTTGAATAAGCACACCCACCATCTCAGAGAGACCTAGGTTTCATCCTACCCAGCATTCTCCAGAGGACACGTCAGCAAGCCACAAGCCCATCTTTTCCCTGACCCGTCCCTCAAAAAGCCCGCCATAAAAAGCCTCTTAGCCTGTAAGAGACACCTTCTTTGTTCTGCTCGCCAGAACAGAGGGGTCCCTCTCAGGTTTAGCAATAAAAATGCTTGGACTGTTGAGTTCGCAACCCCTCTTTTCCTTTCAAGACTGCTTTGCCGGGAGGAAGGTCAGGAAGACCTAGGTCTTGGAGAGATGCCCAGGAAGCCCAGCTGAGCCCTGGCCCCAGCTGAGCCCTGGCCCCAGCTGAAACAGAGCCACAGGAACGCAAGGACCAGCAGGAAAGCTTCCCAGTCATGTACGTGGGTGCTCTAAGGCACT